GCGTTCTGCTGCATTCAGTACGTGACTAACAAAGTATATCGGCATTTGTTGTTCTTCCTCTCCACTACCAGCACTGCAGCTATCGTCTTTGCTGACGCTGAGATGTATAACTGTAATTGTTCCCCCATTTCCGGCCTTGCAACCGTCGGGAGAGATTTCAAGTGATTTCGCACCACCTCTAGCGCGTCCCACTGCTCTTTACCCCACTCAAACACTTTGTTCTTCCGTAGAATCACAAAAAAGGGAAGTGCCTTATCAGCCGATTTGCTGATAAAACGTGTTAACCCTGCCATTCGGCCAGTCAATCTTTGTATATCTCGGATCGTCTTTGGCTGCTTCATCTCAAGCACCACATTCACCTTATCAGGATTTGCGTCTATTCCCCTTTCACTGACCATGAAACCCAGAAACTTCCCTGATCTGACTCCGAATATACACTTCTCGAGATTCTATTTCATCTGGTATTTTCGTAAAGTTTCAAATGTCTCCCTCAAGTCTGCTATGTGATCCTGCATTTTCTTACTTTTAACAATTGTGTCATCCACATACACCTCCACATTCCGGCCCTTTTGTTTCTCAAAAACCTTGTCAACTAATTTTTGATATGTCGCCCCAGCATTCTTTAACCCGAACGACATGGCTTTATAGCAAAATACTCCAGCATCCGTTATAAAGGTCGTCTTCGGTCTGTCGGCCTTATGAAGGCTAACCTGATGATACCCCGAAAACGCATCCAAAAAACTGAGCATCTCATGACCAGAAGTGGAATCCACCAGCCTATCTATTCGGGGCAACGGATAGCAATCCTTAGGATATGCCCTATTCAAATCAGTAAAGTCGACACACATTCACCACTTTCCCGTCGGCTTTCTTACCATGACAACATTTTCCAACTGCTCCGGATATGTGCACGGCTCAATAAAACCAGTCGCTAAGAGCTTGTTAACCTCAGCCTGTATAGCTTCTATCTTCTCAGTAGAGAAGTTGCGCTTTTTTCTGTCTTATCGACCTGAACCCCCTATTGACATTCAATTTATGTTCTATCACCCCTGGGTGTATTCCTGGTATTTCACTCGCTGAGAAAGCGAAGACATCTGCATTTTCACGCAACAGGCTTATCAGATTACACCTCATGTCAACATCCATATCGGCTCCAACCCTAACCGTTCTGCTGGAGTCACCCGGCTGCAACTCAACCTGCACCGTTTCCCCTCCCGGTAACGGTCTCGGAGCTGTTTCCGGCCTTGTATCAAAGTTACCCATGGACAAGTCACGTACTGTGGGCTCCAGCTCCTTTTTAAGATTACTTGGTACTGATCCATCTCCAACCGGATTCTTCAAAGCCGTTAGATAACAAGACTTTGCCATAACTTGTCCCCCATGAACCTTTTCCACAACTCCCAAATTTGACACATAAGCTATTGTCAAATGGTATGTTGATACAACAGCTTGGATATCGTGAATTATCGGCCTTCCAATGATTGCATTATAAGCCGATGGGACATTGACTACCAAAAACTCTGCCATCACATCCCTTTCTGCAGGCCCATCACCCAGTCGTACCGGTAGGACTATGCTCCCCTCTGGTCGTACTGAATATCCATTAAACCCAATAACCGGGTATGATACCGGCGTCAGGTATTGCCTCCCTATCATCATCTCATTAAAGGCCTTCATAAAAAGGACATTGGCTGAACTCCCTCCATCTACTAAAACTCTTTTTATGTCAGCTCCATTAATCTTCATAATCAGTACCAACGGGTCATCATGCGGAAAGACTATCCCCCTTGTATCCTCTTCAGTGAACACAACATCTGGGATTGAAGTTGGCCTGGGGCGGCTATCGGTATCCAGGGCATTGATTATATGGCGGTGCTCTGATAAGTGCTTCTTTGCTCCACTTATCGTCCCTCCATGCACCGGCCCTCCGGTTATCACATCAACTCCTCTTCCCGTCGATAACAGTGGCATTCCTCCACCTCCCTGTCGGACCACATTACCTTGCGGCCTTTCTGGCCTTGCCTCAAGTTGCTGCCTTTCAAGCTGGCGGGGCGGCGGCTGTCTTCCACTCGCACTTAGCCGGTACTAAGATAAATGACCCTTTCTTATCAAATCTTCTATGTTATCCTTCAGCTGCGTACATTCCTCTGTATAGTGACCCACATCTCTATGAAACATGAAATATTTTTTGGCATCTCTGGGTTTAGCCTTCATTGGAATCGGCCTCATCCACCCTTCCCTATTCTGATTTACTGCATAGATTGCCGCCCTTGGTGTATTAAGGGGGGTATATGAACTGTATCGGATTGGTGGCTTTGTTGCCCTTGCCTCCTGCCGACTTCCACCCCTTCCCGGGGTAGGAACTCTTGACCTCACGCTACCGGAGGCTGCCCCCTCAGCCTGATACCTTCCAACTGATATACTCTTACTGCTTGTCTTCATCAACTCTTCACTTTTTATGTGATCATGTGCCTTGTTGAAGGCGGCTGCCAACGTTGGAAAATTCTTCCTTGTGAGATATCGCTTGAACTCAGAATCATTCAACCCATTCATGAGAGCCATTACGGCTATTTCTTGCTGCAACTTTGGGATTGTGTTTGCCTCGTTATTAAACCGCCTGATATAGTCCCTTAAAGACTCACCCGATCGTTGCTCTACTGCCATTAATTCCCCTGAAGTCCTTTGCCTCACACTGTTGCTAATGTATTGCCCAACAAACATCTCTGTCAATTTTGTAAAGCTATCTATAGTTCCGTTTCCCAGGTTGTTAAACCAATCTGCCGCTGCCCCAGTCAGGGTAGCCGGAAAGACTTTACACCACACGGCGTCTGAATTTGTATACAAGATCATATGCCCTTCATAAGAGGTTATATATCGGCCTGGATCCCCTCTTCCATCATAGCGGCACGTTGGAATCTTTATCTTTTCCATAGGCTGATCCAAGATCTCTTGTGTAAAAGGCGATGCCCTCAACTGGACTATCGTTTGCACTGCCCCTAACTGCTGGTTTTGGGTGCTGACAATGGGACCCGTAGACTGAACTTCTGACTCCCATTGAGTCGGCTGTGACCTTATCGGCGACCTTTCATGTCGACGCCTCTGTGAACTTCCTGCCCGGTTTGATTGATTGCCATGACTAGTAATCGGCACCCCTTCCCCATCTTGGGTTGCCTTAGCCTCCTTCCTTTTTCTACTCATGGAAGTCATTACCCTTGCTTCTGTTTCGAGCTCTTCTGGCGTGAATTCAGCCATTGGATCCTGTTCCCCTTCTCCTTGACCTTCTGGGGTTAACGGCATATGGAAATGGTTACCTTCCAACGTATGAGTTTCATCTTCGATTTCAATCTCCGGATTTGGTACCCCCATTCCCATTCTAATTGTCTGATTAACAACCTTCTCGGCTATCGGCGTACTCTAGTTTTCAGGCATTTTTTTTTTTTTTTTTTTTTTGTGTTGTAGGGTATGAGGTTCTTAGGTGATAGAAGCAATTATATTGCTCCCCTCCTTCTAGCGCCAATTGTTCCTGCAAGGATCCGACAACCCGGTCCAAAAGTCCAAAGCACGAGTATAGAACCCGTAAAGCTCCTATCGGCCAGACGAGAACCTACACAAAGAAAAAGGATTAGCTAACCCCGGGGTGTTCCAGGGATAACCACTCCGATGACAAAGTCAGTTTATGATGAAGAAAGAGAAATTAGAGAGAGAAAGAGAGAAAAAGAGAGAGAGAAAGATCTTAATTACCCTCATTAATGACTCCTAACCTACTATTTATAATAAATGCCATGACAGGTGGCTACAAAGCATGCAAAGCTTTTCCTGCCAAGTGTCAAACTATTGTTGCCACGTGCCAAGCATCGACAGGTCGATATGTCTGCTTTACGAAACATATCTGCCCATTTATCAGCTCCATTGGGATTAGACCCATATTTATAAAAGATGTCGGCCCATCTTGCATATCCTCCTATACAGATAATATAAATTCTTTACTTGAGAACTTGTAGTGTACAAATCCAGAACACAGTTTACTTTCCATTTTAAAAGAGATTGATGTGTTGGCATTGCATAACTATTACGGAGTAATATAGTAACCTTTTAGATTTTCATAATAGTGGTTCATAACTGTTAATGCATATATCTTTTTTTTATTAGAATTTGGCGAGTGTGTTATAAATTAGAGTTGATCTTATAAATTGTTACCAAAAATTTTCAAATGATTCAATATTATTACCTCACTATATAAGAATTTGGCGAGTGTCTTACAAGGAGAATTGAATATCCAGTTCGTTATGAAATCCAAATAGTTCATAACTGTTAATGTTACCTTTTTTTGATAAAGATTTGGCGGTTAATTTATAAATGAAAGTCGAGTACCTGCTCTGTTATTAAAAGGAAACTACATATTACTGTAAAAGATATTCAAATCAAACACACACTGGTATTTTCGATTCTCCGTTCCCTTAAGAGTTTAACTAACTAATGCTAATAACTTGTACATCATATTATTTTGACCTTCAAGGCTTAAACTATAAAATATATTCAAATCAAACACACTCTAATATCTCGGATTCTTCGTCCCCTGAAAATTTTTAACGAACTAATGCTAGTAACTCGTACATCACATTATTTTGACTTTCAAAATTTAAACCTTAAAACATATTCTTTGTCATCTTAAGACTTTAACCAACTAATGCTAATCACATATTTTTTACCTTAAAGGCTTAGGGTCTGTTCTCATTGACTGAACTCAGCTGAACTGAACTGATCTGAGCTAAGCTGAGTTGAACTGAACTGAAATGAACTGAATATTTTATAAGAGAAGGAAATTAAGAGTTAAAATGACTGAACTGAATTTCAACGTATGAGAAAAGACCCTTTAACATTGATAATCTACATCCAAAAAGCACAGGTACAAATACAGTGATGATGAATACATTCATACCGAGTACACGGTAACCGTATTTAAATTATTTTCTGGTAGAGTAGAGTAGTCGGTTTGTGGGGGCAACCGAAGAGAAGGTAGAGATTTCGAGAAAGCAAACCAAAAACAATGCCAAAACGCAATAAAAATTATTAAATCAATTCATATAAAAATAAAAATTATTAAACCAACCCAAAAATAAAAAGAAAAATAAGATTCAAAGACTTCCTTCCTCTCTGAAAAAAAGAGGAGGAGAGAGAAAATATGCCTTCCATCCTCCTACCACATTCCTCCTCTTCCTTTTAGAGAGAGAAATTTTTTCATTTTCTAGAGAGAGAAAAGGAACTGCCATTGTTACAACCACTACCACCTTCTTCTTCTTCCTGCAACAAACAATCACTGCAAAAAAATCCCCATTTTTATTTTTAATAAATAAAAAATACCCACATATTTTTTTTCCTTTTTTTTTTTTTTGAAATTCAATAAAATCCCCCATTTTTTCACCCACTATTTGACAAAGCTTTTAGCTTTTCCTTCCATTTTATCTCCTCTTTCTCTCTCTGTAAAACCACCCATTCATCCATTCATTTTCTCTCTCCTCGAAAATCCAATCAAACATGAGAAGAGGAAGATCAACGGCTAAGACAACCCAACCCCAAACCCAGAATGGATCTACACCGTTGGATCCCCCGCCGGCGGCGATTGGAATCAACGGCTCAAATTCAAACGTAAAATTCCGAGGAGTTCGAAAACGGCCGTGGGGTAGATTCGCGGCGGAGATCCGTGACCCGTGGAAGAAAACCCGGGTTTGGTTAGGAACCTTCGATTCTGCAGAAGACGCTGCACGGGCTTACGATAAGGCCGCACGGCAACTCCGAGGCCCCAAAGCTAAAACCAACTTCCCACCTTCTTCCTCTAATAACCACCATCAAAACGACAACGTTTTAAACCACCCTTCTCCGTTCTACCGAAACGACGCCGTTTTGGTTGACCCTTATCATCATGGAACCGACGGTGGTGGTGGTTGCAGCGACGCCGAGATGATACAACGGCCGGCGTCGAGTGGGATGAGTAGCACGGTTGAGTCGTACAGCGCGTCGCAGGCGATTCGGATTCGTCACGCGCCGCCGTTGAAAGCGCATGTTGTTCACGCGCCGGCAACGGCGGAGGATTGTCGGAGCGATTGTGATTCGTCGTCGTCGGTGATTGATGACGTGGATGGTGATATTGCTTCTTCGTCTGCAGCCGTTGGATTTAATAGTGAGGTGGTTTTGAAGCAGCCTCTGCCGTTCGATCTGAATCTTCCGCCGCCGGAGATTGATGGGTGTTTTCTCGGGTTTGAGGATTTTCCGACGACGGCGCTTTGTCTTTAACGGTAAAAAAATAATGGTAATAATTTGATGACGAAAAAAAAAAAAATTGGGAAGAAGGAATTTGATGAAGAAGGAAAAAAAAAAACTGAGTGATTCTCTTTCTATTTCTTCCATTTCTCTCTACTATGGGTTTAATTTTATGTTCTTTGAAATTTTTATGCGGAAGAACAGAAAAAAAAATTGAAAAAATGGGGAAGATTGAAATTGAAAAATGAAATATGGGTATGAAAATATATCATCATATATTATAATCATAATATATGATATGATATGGTATGATGTTATATCATATGATGAATGATGTTGGGAGAAGATTAACTTGTAGTTTCTTGTTAATTTTTTTTTTTTTTTTTTTTTTTTTTGTTGGTTATAAAAATTTCCCCCTTTGATTTTAGGGGGGAAATAGTGATTATATGAGATCTGGGGGTTTCAGAGGAGAGAGAAAATGAGATTACAAAAATGGTGTTTGTTGTTGAAGGGGGGTTGAAGATTAGAGAGTTGTATTACTAATAGAGAAAAGAGATCTGATGAAATTGAAGGAGGGGTATTTTAGGTCTTGTTTAGAAAGATCAATGCTAATACTCCCCCTTTTCATTCAACTTCAATCCCCCTTGTTGTTCATCACTTGTATTGTAGAGATAAAGAGGAAATTTCTATCAATGAATGAGAAAACAAAATTTCTTATTTACATGTTGATGAAGGAGTTTCGAGTTTCGTTGTTTGTTTTCTTGTTTCTTGTTTTCGATTGCTCGAATCCGAGTTTGAGCTTCTGCTTTTGCTGTGGTTGTTCATGAACTTGTAATTATCTTACCTTTGTGTGTATATGCTTGACATAATACTATTGTGTTTATCAAATGTGGAATACATTCCGGTTAATTTGAACATTTTGCACCTTTTCCCACTATTGTGTTTGTGAAGATTAACCATCTAAGCTCAAAATAAGATCAATTTGTAATGTGCATATTTTGAGCAGGTGAAATCGTTCTGGTGTGATTCTTTCTTCTAGTTTACAGATGATGAATATGCTTCATTTTACATCTTGCATCAATTCTATATGGATCTTCAATAGAGGGTTTTGAACATGTTCAAGATCACCATGGATTGTTGTTTTGTTTGATTTTTTCATATTTGTATTGAATCTTAATTTTCATGTTGGTGGATTCGATATTAGCTGAAGGCGATGTTGGTCAGTCCAATTTATGATTTTTCTATTTTCCCAGTTTCATCGTCTTTTACTCATGTTCAATAGATCGGTATTAGCCAAGGGCGATGTTGGTTAGTCTCGTTTATGAATTTTCTATTCTCTCATTTTCATGGTCATTAGATCGGTATTAGCCAAGGGCGATGCTGGTTGGATCAATAGTCTATCTTGTGATTTTTTCGATGTCCTTTGCTCGAATTCTGTTGTTTATGCTTGACTGAAAATCTCTTTAAAGATGCCTTTAATTTGAACTTTTGATTGATAGGAAAACTAGATGCTTGTGTTTTGGGTCTTCCTTTTGGGATCTTTTGTTCAACATTTGGTTTACAATTCATCATCTTTGCCCTGTAGTTTTTGTTCTTTTCTCTTTATTTATTTTTATTTTTTTCTGTATTCTTTAGAATTGGGTTTTTTCAGACTTTATTAGATTGCTATGATTATGCACAAAATCCTTTTTCTTGTAGGTGTGGAGATGAGTAATCATATCACCCCTGTTTACAAGAATCTTTCTTGATAAGATCTTTTTTGCTGATAAAAGGCTCATTTTATTTCACGTCATTGATTAAAACTTACTTTTATTTCCTGGCATGGCATACCGAAGATTGAAGGATTCTGGATGCTTCTTCCTTGCCTTTTATCGTCGTGTTCATTATGATTTTTATTTTTCTAGTGTTTGTAGAAGACTTGGTTATGGATTCGGTGTATTTAGGGGCGTTATCGGCTGAACCAGTGCAGTTTGGTAGTGGAAAATAAAAATGAGATTCAGTGTTTTGATTAACTATCATCTTTCCATTGGGTTATGCATTCGGCGTACTTAGGGGCGTAATTGGCTCATCAAAGGGCAGTTTTGGTAGAGAAAGAATGGGATTTAATGCTTTGTTTAACTTTCTTCATTGCATTGGGTTATGCATTCGTCGTATTTAGTAGCGTTTTTGGTTTAATAATGGGCAGTCCTGGTTATGAAAGAGAGGTCAAGTGATTTGTTTATCCTTGCTATATTACAAATTTGGTTGTGAATTAGGCATGCCAAAGGGCATTTTCGGTATCCTTGGAATAAATTGAGGGGCATTTTGGGAAGAGGAAGGGATAAGAGCTATATATTAGTTGTTTATCCTTGCTACATTACAAATTTGGTTGTGAATTTGGCATGCCTAAGGGCATTTTCGGTATCCTCGGAATAAATCGAGGGGCATTTTGGGAAGAGGAAGGGATAAGAGCTATCTATTAGATTCATTCAACCCTTCATCATCTATGGAATTTGGTGTGTGTGCCATTATGAGTTTTGGATGTAATGTGTGGGTGGGAAGTGGGAACTAGGGAAGGTGAGGTGATGAAAACTTTGGTTAGGCATAGTAGTTGTATAAATGTTGGATTTTTTATATCAACTTCTAGACCTACCTAAATGTGTTACTAGACAACATTTTGACCTAAAAGCTTGTTGTTTTTGGTGCATTATTTTTGTCATCCACCTCTCATTTTTGGTTTCGGTTGTTGATTTTTAAATTGTATCAACAAATTTTTAGCAGCTGGAAATTTGTTAGAATAATTTATAAATGAGGTGTTTTTTTTTTTTTTTTTCCTTCCGATGCTAGCCTTATTTTTTTATTTCTTTTTTTGTGTAACAGAAATACATAACAAGTGTCAATTTTTCATCACTATACTTTATGCGTCTCATAATATAATACTCCCTCCATCTATCTTCAATATTTGCAGTCAATCTAAAAACCATTGTTATAGAGAATGAGCTATTGTTACATTCATTTCAATGTATAGTTTAATCATTAACTTTAATTTATTATGTAATGAAATATTATTATGGTCAAAAGTTTGTTTTGGATACCGCACAAAATGGAAAAAGGCCTAGGATGAAGAGTATTTTGTATTGCAAAGATCAAAATCTATTGAAGTTTTGTGTTGGCTTGGCTACATGCCTACATCTACTTGTTATTAAAGTTGATGAGAGTGAGGGAAAACTCAAGTAGTTGGAACTCCTGTCCGATTTCAGGTGATTCTGAAATCAATTCTCATCAATTGTCTTTCTGGCTCTCTAAAAAAAAAAAAAAAAAATTATAATCAATGTTTTCGGTTGCTTAAGTTTTTTTACAATCAAGGTGCTTTGTGAAGTATAAATTTGGACCATATACATATATCTTCAAAGGCAAGTTGTCGACTGTATGAGTTGATTTCTTGTCCTTTTAGTATGAATTTTTGACGAGCACCTTGAGTGCTTATTATGCGTTTGATGTATTATGCTTGTTAATCATGCAAATTGGCGACCATTACTTTTTGGTTTATGCTTGTTAAGTTAACTTCTTGCTCCTAATGATTTTCACGAGCAGCCACAGCATATTTGAAAAATACATGTTGGAACAACAAGTGTGTAGTGTGTGAATTTTGTGAAAAACTCAAAGTCCCACATTGGTGGGAAATGAGAGTTTTACTCTCTTTATAATATAGAGAGTGGGCTAAAGGGGTGTGGCCCTTGGGCTACCCACATTTTGTGGAGAGGGAGGACCTATATGGTAAACCATCTATCACACACACGCGCGCCAAACCGGGCCGGGTCGGGTCGGGTTTATTAAATAAACTTATTTTTTGGACAAGGCTAATTGCGTGATTAGTTCCTTGATTTTTGCTAAACGTTTTTGACTGATTACATTTGACCGTTTTTTCAAAACTGGTTAATGGAGCGTTAATCATGCAAACGTTTTCACTGATTTTTGGCTAAACGTTATGCCACGCATTAATCTTCTGTAACCGTTTTGAACGTTCAACTTATGACCGTTTTAATTGCGTGATTAGTGCCTAATTAAACAGCAGCAGTTACGTTGCAATTTTTCCTATAAAAGGCGTGTTGATTTCCTGTTTTTGATACACAAAAAAAAATACAGAAATCAATCTTCTTCTCCTCTCTATTTTTCCTCACAAAAAAAAACAAAACCCTCGAGCAGTTTCTTTTCTTTTTGGGTGTTTAGTTGCCCGGTGGTTTTGTGCAGTTCCACCGGTATAATTTCAATACAGAAAGGCTGTTTTATCCTGGGGAACATCCGGTTTAGTACGAACTGCTTGCACCTTTTCAGGGCAGTGCCGTGAATGTTCTAAAGAAAGCGACATAGTCCGCGACTCAGTCTATTTTTCGGTAACTTTGTTCTTACTGTTTTTGTTCCCGCAGTTCCGTTTATAACAATACATGTATTTGTAAATGCATGTATTTTATACTAGCTACATGTTTTAGCAAAAATCTTTTACTTTTAGGGCCTGTTTACATTAGCTGAACTGAACTGATTGGAGCGGAATTAAACTGAACTGATTGGAGCGGAATTAAACTGAACTGAAATGAATATTTTATGAAAGAGGAAATTAGGAACTAAACTGAAATAAACTGAATTAAGTTGAAATGAATAGACCGTTTTATTTAGGCTTTTTTTTTTTTTGCCTGCGTGCTCACACTTCGGCAATTATATACGATTTCTTTATGAAGTTACATACAAACCGTGTCCTCACAAGGTAAATGCATGGGCAATTATATACAGAGTAACACTCAGCATTGGCTACGATTTCCATATAAAGTTACATACAAACTAATTTGCATTATTATGGTATTATTACCACCTATTAAATATGTTGTTAAGACATTTCAATAGCCTTGCTTTTTAAACAAGTAATTTGAATAACATGCAAATAAGAATAACTTAAATTTAACCCGTCACAAAATCTATATTGTTAGAGAAAACCTATTTGTAACTACCAAGGGGCAAAAGATCCAAAAAAACCTTATGTAAGCAATACATTGTGAGACTCAAGTAATTAAAGTAAGGGCACTAATAACGTGTTTTGGCCTTTTTATTCAATGTATTCTGAGTTTGTGATACACATACACATAACCACTTGATAATGTACATGTCTAGGCTGTGAAAATTTATAGGTTTTCTAAGTTGTAAATATATGTATTGAAGATGGAGAAAAGAAATTAACTAGGTGGTGAATTTGTTATGGTCTTAGTTGATATATCAATTCAACATGCTAGTGATATTCATTGTTCATGGAGAATTTGGAGGGGCATGTCGAAATACAAATTATGAAGTATCTTGGAGAGGTTTTAATTCTTTGAATTGGAGAGGGGAAAAACAGGAAAAGAAATGTAAGAATATGTTCTTTCTTATCTAAGGAGGAATATCAGTATTTTCAATTATACTTTCATGCTTTACAACACTTGACATATACATTTAAAATGTGTTATGTTAATATGATGTATCAAAATCATGGTTTTTTGATTCCAAAAAGATACAAGTACATTGTTATTATGTTACTAGTAAACAATAGGGTTACATACATATTTTATTTATTTATTAAAAAAAAACAGAGTTACATACTTGATTGAACGGTGAATTATAAATGGGCATTTTCGGCAAAATATAGCTATGAAGGTAGCTGTTAGTTGTGAAGGTAGATGTTGCCTGTCTAGGTAGCTGTTGGTTGTGTAGGTAGC